GATGTTCTGGGTCTGATGAAAGCAAACCAGAGTGTGCTCCGAGGCTGGGGAGGCTAGAGTTTTCCACGGCACCTGTGCACAGGACCAAGGCTCCTACGTCACCAGCTCCCCTCTGGGTAGTCTCACCACTCTCCTGGGAACAGTGGTGGAAAACGAAACCCTTCTGAAAGGGTTCCTTTGGCACCCCTCAGCCACCCCCTGATGTCACCTTTCATGATTTTCAAGAGAAAGGGCAATGAAGTGAAGAGTAGGTGAGCCGGGAACAAAATCGGCGCCGCCCACAGTGGCTCATGCTTTCCTTTCAGACGCTTCCTTCCCTCCCACCCGACACGGCCGTGTGGAAGCCGCGCACTATTAGTTCCACATAATTGGAAAGTGTGTCAGGATCTCCCCGACACGAACCAGAAACATGCTGCTCAGTTGTCACCTCCAACGTGACTAATGCGGTTGTGTCTTAATTAGTCACTGCTCGCTGACTGCGCTGACAGCGCCCAAGCCCTTTCCAAGGCCCCCGCCTGTCATGGGTGGTGCGGGTGACACTGCAGGCGAGGGGCTGGTGGGAGCGCAGAACTGGGGGTTGCCGAGTTTTCAGGTCCCTTTCCCACTGAGCACCGCGAGCTCAGGTGGCCTCTGCCAAATCCATTGTGAGGCAAAGGCAACTTTGTGACAGTAGAGTCAACAGGGTCATAACTTTGGGACACATTTATTAAAGCGAGGGAGGAAATGTGACAAAGAAATGTGGTCTGGAAGACACCTTCACAAGGCAGCTGTCAGGGCAGGGCCCTCAGGCAGCTCCTCTGAGGCTGATGGGGCAACCCTGGGTGGACCGTGCTGCTCTGCCTAGCCCCCACCCAGCGACAGCTGGTCAGGCTGAGGGGCCCACCTGAGCCCAGGGCAGCACAGGTACTGGCTAACTTATGACCCGTGACCTACAGTAGCTGCCTGTAACGATGAGCTGGGCCAGCTCCATTTCTCCTTCGGGGCCTCTGCCCTCAGAAGCACAGGGGCGGGTGGAGGTGGAAGGTGAGAGACGGCCTCAGCAATGGTTCTTCAACCTAGGCCTCTACCTGAGAGCAGCACCTGGTTCTGGGCCCTCCTCCTCTCACTGCCCACCAGCCTGACCCCTGTCCCAGTGTCTGGGCCCTAGAGAGATGAGAAGCGCCCCAGCGCGAAGCCAGGAGGAGCAGAGAGGGCCGGGAGCTGCCTCAGTGCGCAGCCCCGCCAGCCTCACAGTGAGACCGCCTCACTGGCACCCCCTTCCCTGTCCCCTAAGTGCCCAGGGCCCTTTGTTCATTTGGCCCCACAGGTACAGCATCCAGGGCCCTTCAAGTCTTCAGGCTCCTCAGAAATGATTGAGACGGAAACAAAATTTACTGGCTCCAAGTACAAACAAAGCTTTAAAATCGATTTTTCAAAGTCTGCAGAACATATTGTCATGTCAGCCAACCACGACTGCTGTATCCTCACATAACGCTTGTTACATTCGATGTGGGACACGGTACATTGCAATAGGTTTGACAAGCTGGGGGTGGGGTCTCCAAAAGTGAGCATGCTGGAGCCTGCAGAGGTTGGCAGAGTTCCGGGAGCGCTTACTCTGCTGAGGACCTGTTTACGTGAAAAGAAAGACCTGATTCCGTACGTCTCATGTCTAGCACTTCCTACTGAAGCCACACTTCTCAAGAAGGATGAAGAAGTGAACTGGCAAAGAATCAACTGCATTTCAAGACAAGGGCAAACAGCAATTCCTGCTAATTCATCTGAAGAATAATTAAGAAGTATTTCTAAGTCTTCCGTCATTGGGCCCATAAAGGAGGCTAAACTACAGTAAGAGCCCATTTTCCCAGTTGTGCTCGGATATACCCAGACAGTTCTGGTTAAAAATGAATAACACTAAATATTCTGATTGTGCCACGGTAATTTGGGACTGACTGATAATACAAATCAATGAGTCTTCCTCTCCTCAAATTCTTCAAATAAAGCACCTTTCCTGCTACTTTGAAAGTTAATTAGCAGATGAAATATTTACAACATTAAGGACTAATTCACTCAGGTACAGTAAATAATAGTAAAACAAGTCATTTTTCATCTGTGTCTGATTGGCTCAGAAGTCAAGTCACATTTCCAAATGAAATACATAAGTCTCAGTTAATTCCTGGACACTCATGGAATATCCAGCAAATAAGAGCCGTGTTTTAGAGTAGTGTCCTTGTTCAGTCTCCTTCCAGTTCCCTGTTTCATTGTCTTGCAGAAATTTCTAGGAGACCCCTGATACTTGGGCCTTAGCTCATCATATTTCCAAATCTGGTCCTTTCTGACAGGCTCCACAGGACTCCTGGCTTCCAGTCTGCCTTCCAGAACTCTCCCTTAGGGTCACTGAGGACCTTGTGCAAGCAGCTTCCTGAGCACGTGGGTCAGCTCCCAAAAGTTCTCAAGACCAAGCTGCTGGTGGGATCTCTCCTCACTAGCAAGCTCCCTACACACCTGTCTCGCTCTGCCATCAGCGCCAGAGGCTCACCCCCTCCGCCCGGCCTGGCCTCCCCAGAGAGCAGGAGTTTGTAAGTATGTGAAGGCTTTCCCCTGCTTGGATGCTTTCTCTTCTCTAGTCCCCACCCCAGGTACACACCAGTTTCAGGCATGGCTCTTCCAAGCCTGACTTCCCGCACTGGAACTGAACTCCATCCATCCCAGAGGCCACACAGCAGCACTCAGGGCTCCGACCTCTGGGCCTGCCCAGCCTCTCTCTTAACTGAGTCCCTCTTCCTTCAGGTTCCGGATGCTTCCAGCTCCTGTCCCTTCCTCAACATCAAAAGCTCCTCAGGAAAGAATCCTTGATGGGGTTATTTTACATCTTAGTGTGAACGAGTCACTGAGGGATCTGAATTTCCAGTATCCTCTCTAATTCTGGAATAACAGCCTCTAAATCAAGTGAAAAGAAATTCTATGACCTGACTAAGGAAGATGTAAGGGTGAAGAGGCTGTCCTAGACCCCCTAAAATCATCCGCCCTATTCTTTACTGAAACAAGTCCTGGAATGTCTAGCCAAGGAATGGTTGTTTAATTTTGAAAATGAGGCCAGGTATGGGGACTCATGCCTGTAATCCCAGGACTTTGGAGGCCGAGGCAGAAGGATTGCTTTAGCCCAGAAGTTTGAAAATACAGTAAGCTATGATACTGCACCACTGCACTCCAGCCTGGACAACAGAGTGAGATCTGTCTCTTAAAAAAACAAAAACAAACAAAACAATGACCAGGCCAGACTGAGAAGATAAGAGAGAGAAAAGTCCAAAAACGATGTGAAACACTGCTTGGGTGGGAAGGAGAGAGGAGCAAAGATGCCAGGCCTTTCGGTGGCAGGCACAGGAGGGTCTGTTGCACAGGCCAGGACAGCCCTTCTTCCAGAGTCAGGAATCACAGTCCCAGTCACAATGGCAATGGAGGGAGAGATGCTCCAACGAGGAACACAACGGTTCACATACTCAAGCTATTTGCCCACCTTCCTTATGAAATTGCAGATTTCTTTTCCCTTTTGGAGCAGGAGGGGTATGAAAGAAGAAAAATCTTTACAAAAATGTGAAGAAAATAATTTAGTCTTTTTTAAACCAGGGGACTAATGTGAGACTAGCAACAGGAATACATGATTAAAGAAAAAAGATGGAAGGAAAGGCCCTGCTTGAATTGGGTTGTGGATTAGCTGGGAACAGGGCAGAGCAGCAGCACCTCCAGAGCCAAGAGTTGCCGCTGAGTAAGTAGCACAGCAGTATCCCCTTGCCGAGGGACCCCAGGCCCCATCTGAAGTGACCAACACTTACGTAGCCAGAGGAGCACAGAAAGTCAGCAATATTATCATTTTCACCACCAGAGGCTTCTTTCTTTCATAAAAGGATGTGCCTTACAGACTTGTTTCCATGGAGAAGTAGCCTCACGATATTTTAAGTGGTATATAAAGCCAAAAGTGTGGTTCCCCTACAAAATCCTTCTTGGGTAAAGTGAGGCAGCCTGGCCCACATGTATACAAGCGCCCTGAGCTAACAGGTGTAGCTCTAGGGCACCAGCAGGGGAAAGTACCAGAGGCCTGTTCAGGAACAACTGAACTTCAGGGAGGCAGCCAGGGGCAGAGAACAGCAGAGGGCCTGTCGCCAAAGTGCTGACAGCCCAGGAGGCAGGTACAAGTAACAGGAAAACGTGGCTATGGGCACTACTCTTCCTATAAGCAGGGAAATAGGACGTGGGAAGGAGCCCCAGGCTGCCGTCCCAGCTGGTCGTCTTCCAAGAGGACCTGGCCCTGACAGCAGCCCCCAGAGGACAGCAGGGGAGAGATGAAAGAGTGAGCACCACCATCAGACATGGGACCCTTGAGGTCCTGCTCCCAAAGCCCTTGGAAGTCACAAGACTGCTTGTGCAACAGCAGCTCTGCTCCTGGAGCAGAGAACAGGTGCTGTGGGCCATACACATGACGGGTCCTGAGCCTGCTGCTAAGGAGGACGACAGGGCATACCAAGCGTGGGGCATCACAGTCATGTGGGCTTGCCTGCCTTCTATGTGTGCTGCCCACCTGACCCCACGGGACAATCCATTTTTCTGAGTCAGCCTGACCCTGCCCTACCAAAGCATGACTGAAGCCACGCTATCGGAGGGCCTCTGCTCGGGACTCCTAGCTAAATAGCTACTTTTTCCCCAGCTAGTGCAGAGCATTCTTCCTCTGAGTAGATAAAAACATGCCAACGTGACTGGGCCCCAGTTTTGGGGTGCTGGTAGGTCTTGATCCTTGGCCCCCTGGCAAGTAGATTTCAATGTATACATTATAATGCACAACATGAGTTGCCCTTCCTGGCCCTCTCTCTGGGTGTAGACATGGAAGGTTTGTGGACATTGTCCAGAGGATTATTAACTATTAATATTAATATCCAAGATATAGTTCGTGCATGTAGCTCCAAAGGGCAATCACATCCAAAAGGAATTAATACACTGACGAAAAAAGGAAAACACTTTACTGCACTGGGACAATGCTCGATGATCTCACCTGCAGGGTACACGGTGCAAGGCTCAGAGAGCCCGGGCTCACACTGAAGCTTGGAGGACCAGCCCCACAGCCTGCCACTCTTGTCCTGGGGCTGGAATTCCGTTGTACTGACCAGTGCTGGAAATAATGGGCCAGTGGAAGGGGCCTGCCTCAGTAATACTTGCCATATAAAATTTACCCCGACTCTCTTATTCTCAGGATAAAAAGATACATCTGTTCAACCTTAGTTGTCTGTACAATTTCCACGTGAGAAGTTACAGAAGCTGCAAAGCAATGCTCCCTTCAAGGGACAAAGCAGCTCCCACCGGATCAGTTTCCTTCAGAGTCCCCCTCTGTCAGGCGGCCAGACCAGGAGTCTCCAGACAGCTTTCACCCACTCTTCAATGGAGAAACCCTGAGGGCCTGCTCTGGGTAAGGCTGGCCTGGGGGACACAGTGGGACCATGATAGGTGACACTCTCCCTAAATCACTCTGGGAAATGTGATAGGAAAAGCTTCATGATTTCAATTCTTGGATATCTCACTGAGTAACATTTTTCCTTCTCTAAAAACTCAGCCCACGGTGTTGACGTGGGGAAAGCCGCAACTCCAGGACCACACTTTGTTCTTGTCTGTTGCATAATATCATGTCTCCTTCCTTCTTTCACGGAAGAAATGAAACATTCCTGTGAAGGGCATAATGACATGGCTACATCTCTTCTTCCGGGCCAGAGGGTTGTTAACTACTAACATTCTAAGATATAGTTTGTTGGAGCACATAGTTCCAAAGGTCAATCACATCCAAAAGGAATTAATACACTTTTAATAAAAAAAGACAATGCTGATTAAAACAAAATGCTGAAAGAAATCTTATCTATTTTAAACGGGCTTTTTGGTCTTCACTTCAAAACGAATCTCATCCTTCATGTTCGAGACGTCAAATGGATGGCAAGTGTCTCATCGGCGGTTCTCTCTGACATCTCACCTCCTGGGCTGCCCTCGTTCCACTGCAGAGCCCCCAGAAGGCTTTTACGCAGAATACGTGTTCCGCCCACAGAACTGCCCCATGGCTGGTCCCGGTGCCACAGGTGTCAAAGCATCTCTGAAGTCACGTCGTTTTGTCAGTGAGTCTGGACATTCCTAACTGAGTCCTGAGAAAATGGACCAGCTTGGTCTCTGTGAGGCATGCTGTTCCGAGGGTCATTCCCAAACAGAAGGCCCCCACGCCAACGTGCGCCAGCCTGGCTGGCCAGCCCCGCTCACAGCAGAGGAGCACCTGGGGAGAGAAGCCATCATTAGTGCCTGTTCCTCAGTCTCCACCTCCTTCCTCTGGGACGAGCCAGGGAAGGCAGCTAGAGTTCCAGATTCCAACTCAGATAACAGGCATGGCAACTACACACTGTGGGTCTACTCTCTCCCCACCGGAAACATTCTTTTATCACATCTACCATAAGACGCTGCCCTGGAGGCCTGGGGAAGGGATAAGAGGAGGGAAACACGTGTCCAGTTGGTTGAGGCAGGGCAAGAAGGCCTAGAGGGAGGGATGGTGGGACGGCCCCCAGAAGCACGTGGTGTGAAAGCTGCAGGGAGTCTCACCTCCGAAACACCAGTAATCCCACCACTGAGGACGAACGCCCCGAGGAGGACTGGTGACAGGTACAGGCCAGCCAGGGGCCTATAGGGGCTCTCTTGGTAGTAGCGGTGGATGAAGAAAAGGCTCTGTGTGATCCGAATGCCCATATTAAAGCAGTTGGCCAAGATGAAGCCCACGCTGCCGCACCAGCGAGTCAGGATACAGGACACCACCAGGAATGAGGATGACAGGCCCAGCATCATGACATTGTACCTGGGGAGAGGGAGATAAGCCAGGTAGTGGGTACCTTGCCCCAAGACAAGACTGCTGCAAAAAAAGCGGCCACGAACATCAACTCACAGAAAGAAACTGAGTTCCCATAACTCCAGCTGATTTCCCATAATCCAGGTTTTCGTAATATCGGATGCTACATGGATTAACATGGAAATTCCCTGTCCCTCTGACCCCTGCACAGAAGAGTAAGAAAATAAACTCAAGATATTTATGTTTTTTAAAGATAATAATTGGTGAAGTGACACTTTGTGATCAAAATACATAAAAATCTTATTCAGCCCAAGTCTCCAATGCGAGGCACAAGAATGTGACCCGGGTAATAATTATATATTGGATGCTAACTCTGTGACAGGCCCTGTGAGTAGTGCTGGGGACATACTGGTGAATGAACACACACAACCCTTGCCCTTTGGAGCTTGCATTTGTTTCACAGACACGGCAACCAGCACAGAGAGGCTGAGTAATCTGTGTAAGGAGCAAGGCAACACTCCACCCTAAACTTCAGCACCTCACACTGCTTCCCTGGGAAATGCGGCGCCAGTAACCTTGGGCACCGGACTGCACTCAAAGCCAGTAACTGGCCTCCAAAATGAAATGTGAACTGGGACCAAAGCCTGGATCACCTTTGGTTTTCCAGACTCTTACACATCTTTCCTCCCGCTCCCTGTATCTCTAGAGCTCTTTGGATCCTGGAGCCGAGTGGATTATACTGCTCCCTGCACTTCTCTCATTTCAAAGCAGCATATCACTTGGTTATTTTCAGTTCTCCGCAAAGGAAACTGAGTCTCAGCAAACATAAAATAGCTGCCATGGTCCTCCAAAAGGCTTATGGTATAGCCATGAACAAAATTCCCCCACAGTAGTTTCTGCCTAGCACACAGCAGGCACTCTAAGTATAGAGTTGTAAGCTGGGCGTGGTGGTGTGCACCTGTAGTCCCAGCTACCTGTGAGGCTGAAGTGGGAGGATCACTTGAGCCCAGGAGTTTGAGACCAGCCTGGGCAACATAGCAAGACCCCATCTCTTAAAAAAAATTTTTTTAAAGTATATAGTTCTTGAGGGAACCAAACTCTTTAGGTTCCCAAGCTGTGTCTGCTAGGTTAGGTAACCTCAGAGGCCACCACTCAGGTTCTGCATGTGAGGGATGGTGAGAAAGCCACTGTGTCCACTGAATGCCCAGGTATAGGTCCTTAGGCTGATGAATCCCAAGGTTCTACAAAGATACACTTTATCCAAGTGAGTGGTAAGAATATCACACACAAACACACATAATACTATACTTCAACAGGGGAGGTATGCTTTCATCCAGGATTCCAGAGAGGGAGTTTATTTACTTCTCAGTCAAGAGATAGTCTCCTTTAATGAGCAATAGAAACCCAAGAGTCCACATCTACATAGGGGCAGTTTTTTCACTATTAATCAGTGATCAGAATGGCCAACTTCATAACGAGCCACTGAGGTGGGATCCATCATACACCAGTACTTTGACCTCCTTTTCAAAAAGAGGCAGATATGTAATCTGTTATTTTTTTCAGAAACTATCTCCGAAAGGTCTACTGTACCAATTCTTGGAGTTTAAGCCACAGATTCGCAAACTTTCAAAGTCATCCTCACCCAACTCCAAGTAAAATGACGATAATGAATGAAACCAATAGCTAATTTTTTTTGCAAGTATGAAATGAAGTTTATTGAGGAAGGACAAGATAGGTTTACAGAGCAAAAGCAAAATATAGATTTGCAGAGTAAGAGCAAGACACATTCACCACAGAACGGCAAACAGGCCTCTTGTCATAACAAAAAGGCCACCAATAACTAATTCATGCTAATTCAAGCAGAGATGCATTCAACAGTGCAGCCTCTTTGGTATGGCCATTTGGGAGAAGCTGATAATGACAAGGTCCACTGTCTGTCACTAGAAGAGGGCTCTGTAGCTGTTGAACTTTCCAAAATTCACAAATCTATAGCTATAAAGGCATAATCCACTTCAGGAAAAAAATGAGAATTTTAAAGATGCAATTAAAATACCACTTTTAAATCAAAGCAAAATGATTAATAAGTCATAATATGACTATTTTAT